AGAGCCTATGTAATATTATTATTTATTTAAAGCTGTGTTCCTTCTGAGCATCTTAACTTTAACCTTTAAAGTGTTCAGTTAATCCCAGGGAGACGCTCTTACCGCAGCGCCTGAGCGACTGAAGGCTCTAGATGCACCATGGCAGCGGGGATGCTCAGCGGTGTGTCGCATTCATGCCCGTCACAGTTCATGTCCTGGATCGGGTTACCGGGAAGAGCGTAGACGAGGACACCGGTGGCGTTGGATTTGGCCATACTCTGCACCTGGAAGGAAGGACAGCGAGCGGTGGATGGATTCATATTAGATGACAAAAGGAATGGAGATAATTAAAAGCTACAAAGGATTGCAACTAATTACTATTTTCACTGTCAGACAGACAGCGAACTGGCCTTCATGCTGCTGGATTAGTCACTAACATTCACTGACTACTATAGTCATAATTATAACAAATGCACATGTACAGCAACAGTGAACTACGCTCTGAAACTGGGGGCTGGCAGTGTGAAGGATTTAGTGGCATCTAGGGGTGAAGTTGCAACCAACTGAATACAGCTCATCCCTCCAAGCATGGAGGAGAAACTACGGTGGCTGTAAAATTCGCAAAAAAGGTGTTATCCAGATTCAATTTCTGCCAATAGATCCTCTTAAATGTTACACACTTAACTTTAAATCGCACGCTGCGTTATCTCTGACATTAACAGACCTTAGTGAAGAAAGAGCAGTTTCCCTCAGAGACCCAGGCCACAGCACCTTCCACCAAAGGGGAAGGATGGCACCCGTCCCCTGCGTCCATCAGCCGATACGACTTCTGACTCCAGCGAGCCATGAGCCAATCGTACCTGGCATCTAGTCTCTTGATAACCACGGGCATGTTCCACCCTGTGAGGAGGAAAATGGTACATACATTACCCAAATAAATCACATTTTACAGGAAATCAGGGGTTGTTTCATAAGAATATACAGCAAAATGGGTTTTTTTTGGGAGCTTAAGACACAAACACAAAGGGAGTTTTAAGTTGAAGACCTTAAAAAGACCGTACCTAGTGGTTCTGGAAACAAATCAAATGAATACAGCAGTTAGATTAGAGTGGATGCTAAGATTAGAGCGATGTACTCATACAAAAATCTGTCTAATGCAGCTGAAATATTACAAATTCAACCATCACACAGTATTTTTTTTGGTGATAGAAGTATTACTCACTTAAACATACTTTAAGAAAACATTTTCCAGTAGTTTTTCTTGACAATACAGGAAGGCAGTTGCTCACAGACTGTGATATTATTCACCAGTAGGTCTATTATTTACATATTTAACTGTTTTTAAACTAAATTCACACTCAGGTTTATGTAGGACATCTGAGCGAGGGGATAAAATACAAGTAAAGATTTCCAGGATAGATTATTTACAGGATATTTGGTCATTTTAATCAACTTCCAGGTGTTTCCATGACTGGAAAACTAGTCTCTAAACGTCCAGGATGTGTGGGAACCTTGTTTACATCTGCCCAACCACCAGGTGAGTCACTCTGACCTTTAAGGCCCACGAAGAGACGGCGCTCTTACCCTCGGAGGTGAAAACAGCCTGGGCGAGGACACAGTTACGTGACGTGCAGCCCCAGTAGTAGAAGACAGCGGGTATCCAGTTACCCAGAGCGAAGACCGGCACCGGAGAGAAGTGCAGCCTGGACAGAACCTCCTTCTTACTGCGGGAACACGAAGGAGAGACATTAAGCATTATGGTTTTATTATTTACACAGTGTAACGTTTAATACTCAGAAAATACAGTATAATGTGTCACCAAAAAGCTTAAATAGACAAAATAATGTAAAACCCAACTTATAGATAATAAAATAACAGTTTTAGATCAACCTGCATTTCAGTGAAGTCACTTTAAATACAGCTGAATTATAAAATATACCATCTATGTTGCTTCCTGTAATTGATTTACATCCAACAAAACAGCCCCTGTTTGATTGTTTCTTTTATTAACTATTAACATTAAACTAACTTGTATCTGTTCTGTCTTTTTACTCCTGTTGTGTCTCCTTTGTTATTATTTTTGACTGAGCGATGTTTCTCTCTTGGTGTGAAAAAGACCGAACTAAACTTCCTTATTGCAGAGATGTTAAGTTTTATTAATTATTATTAATAAACCTCCTTTTCCAAATGTGTGTTTGCATCATCTTGTTATTCCCCAGTGGTGCAAAGTAACTAATTACATGTATTAAAGTTCTGTACTTGAGTAAAATTATAAGGTAATTAACTTGAGGGGTTTCCATTTTATGCGACTTATTACGGAGGGGAAATGTACTTTTAACTCCACGACACAACATCTACCAGTTAGTTTGTGCGTTAAGATTTTATATTAAACACATTTATAAAACACAACATACTGTTTAGGATTAAAATCAGTGGTTTCCAATTGTTTTAGGAAGATTTCCCCTCCAAAAGTCACAGATTGTGTCATTTAGATGAGTATTTTAATCACAAAGAGGAAAAAAATATCTATTTAATTCACACAAAAAGCATTAAGGTCCAATAAAATGTATTTAAATTGTCCAACAGAAAATGAATCACTACAGTTCAGGTTGCACATTAACGCATCAGCACAATCTAATACCATGTATCTCCAATTAATGCAGAATTAGTGCTTTTATTTCTAACACTTGAATACATTTAAACTGATCACACTTTCATTGAACAACACTTTTAATCTGTGCAACATCTCATTGCCTCTCCACCCCGTGCAGCAGCGGCTCCTCTGCGGTCACCTGTGCTGCACGGCGGCCCGCTGCAGCTGCTCCCTCATCCACAGAGCATCAGTGACCGCGGAGTCGTCCAGGGACAGAAACAGAACCTGCGCGCTGTCGGGCAGGTTCTGGACCAGGCTGCTCAGGGACGACTCCGAGCTCCACAGACACTCCAGGAACCCGGACTTGTTGGTGAAAGCGTGAATGATGAGAGGCCCCCGCAGAGCTCCGGGCTGGTAGGAGAACTCCCCATCCAGAGTCCGGACAGTGAACGCGGCTGCGAGGTCTCCCGGTTCCGGTCCGGTGTCCTCGGAGGTTTTCACGGATCTTGCGCTGATCATGTTGTCTTTGGACTCACAGGCCGCTTCATCTCCGATTAGTTTCGTTCTCCACACAGCTTCTGTCACAACAACAAGGAGCCACAACAGCGAGAACCTTGAACGCAACGAAGCCATGTTTCCCCACTGACAGCGAGTGAGCGTGAACTCACCACCGACGGAGCATTTTGTTTCTCAGTTTATCCGGATATAAAAGGTTAAACTCTGCTGGTAAACTCTGTCAGTGGCAGTTTTCAGGTTTTCAGGGATCATAATCTTTCTCTTAAGACTTTTGAGTTGGAGGCGGGTCGTGCTGCTGTCTACGGCGGCCGTAGAGGGGCAAGACAGAGGGGCAAGAACGCTTCAGTCAGACCGTTCACGGCAACGAGATTTCAGTTGTGACCAAATGAATCCGGATACATTCAAATTTGTGATAAACTAGACCGACATTTACAGCCGAGAGTGAATATATGGTGTTAATCAGGATAATTTACTGATATCACAGTATTCATGTTGGATAATAGTCTAATTACACAATCATTAAATAGTAACTTAGCAACGACATGCTGAAACTCTCGCGAGACTTCGGGATTTTTGGTCTAAATTAAAAACTTGTCGGATTTTATTTTTTATTTTTTTATATTTATTTATTTTTTGCCTGATTTGCGTTTAACTGTCACTTATTGGTCTGTGTGTCTTAAAAAATAATAAATTAATTAAAATATAATCTTTTTTCTTCTTTTTTTAAAGTTTTGTGTGTGAATGTGTATAATTTACTTTAATTTGATGTTATTTTATGTATAACAAAATGCACTGTATTGTACTTTTAGCTAAATGTATTCCATATTTACAGATACTGATGCAGGGAAACTGATAGTGTCATTAACACATTATATAAAACATCTACCATGCGGCTCATAAAGGCTGAATAAAAATGTATGTAAGGATTATTTGTTACAGATTTAACTGCTCAGCAATGTATAAAGCTGTTGTCTCATTAAAATCACGTTTACTCTATAATATGTATCACTAATGATAATATAATAATATAGTTTATAGGATACTACAACAGGTGAGAGGGGATATTTATAATATTAATACTCAAACAATGTGTGTCTTCTGCACTTTTTATATGAGGATCATTTTTAAATAAGCAACAAGCCTGCAATAATTTCGAGTTAAGAATGAATAAATCTCATAGTTTGGGTTATTTTTGAAGTTATTTTTCCTGTTTTGCTCTCAAATTGAAAAGATAATAATATTAGCAACTATAATTCCAGCATCATCTTTCCATGGAACATGAAATACATACTAATCACATCAGAAATCAATATAAATCCCTCTGACTCACGCAATAATTGCCGGAGATGACCAACATCATCCACTCCAGCTGTGCGTAAAAGGAGCGATAATGGACCCCCGTGGCGCGATGGCACAGATGCGCTGTTTGTCTGTTCTCTATCAGCACTTCAAATAATCCAGCAGCGAGGTGCAGACTACCTGCACGGATAGTTAGTATTAGCTGTAATCCAGGCTCCAGAGGAATCATAGATTTATATGCAGAGGCATTTGGGTGAAATTACGCACAGTTGGCGATGATGGAGCTAATTAAAGTTGTTCTGATAGTTGTGCTGCTTCTGACAAATGTTTTCTGTCAAGAAATGGATGTTGACAACTGGAGAGAAGGCATCGAAGAGGTAAGATTCATCAGATTATTCTCATTTGTGAATTTATAGCGTTTCCCAAGAAGATTTATGGACCTAAAACTCCAAAATAACAATAAATAAATAGATGTATTACATGAAACTGCAATTTAAGAATCATTTTTATACAGATTAAGAGATAATCTAATAATATATTTAATGTATTTCTTCGCATTCACAAGAACAAATTGCCAAACTCTGAAGTAATTGAAGATTTATTAGTGAGAATGACCAGAAAACCAGGACCACGCCAGTACCTCGGACTCATGGGGAAGAAAGACTCCGGTAGAGCTCACTGATGCCATTTCACACCCAATAATACTGTTTATGTTTAAAGCTGCTGCGTTCAGATCTGTTTTTATTTCTCTCCTCCAAACAGCAAAGACACAGACAGCACGCAAACGTAAGTATCTAGACTTATTTAGTTTCCTTTTAACATCAAATCTCCTTTACTGAAGCATTTTAACGCATGTTTTAATCCTCAGGGCATAAATTTCAAACCTTTGTTGGACTGATGGGTAAAAGAAGCTTTGAGGATGAAGGTAAACTTCCAACAGTGACATTAAATACATACTGCAAAGTGTAAATCTGCCTGGTAACAGCTGATTTCATCCCTGCAGGAGCCCAATGAGCTGCGCTGGAGACTGAAGATCTGCTTTCTTTTCTTTGTTTCATTTAAAACCGGCTACAAAAAGTTTCATTTCTTTAGTTTTGTCATTGTTTCATGAATAAAATATCACATTTAACAGTCTAGTTTAACACTGCGGTGAACCTTTAGGCCAACAGCGCCATCTAGTGTTGACATAAAGATGGTGAAACCCAGGAATCTGTGACACTGGAGATACTTAAATAATACAATAAATAATAATAATAATAATAATAATAATAATAATAATAATAAACCCATCTCACTCCTCGGTATCATCACAGGTTTATTAAGTGACTTTGTACAATACAAATGAAAAATAAAATTAAAAATACAGAGATGGAGTACATAGCCAAAGCAAATTGCGGTGTTGACTCTTCATTTCCCCACTGATGGTTTCCGCAGTGATTGAAATATTGTTGTTTGTTTGTTTGTTTGTGTAAAGCGTCCAGGATCACTGTTTTCTTTTCAACAGTGGACGCCGCTCTCCGTCTCTCTGAGGAGTTTCTTCTAAACATACAAAAGAAGTTATAACTCCAGCTGGCTCGGTATATATAAAAATAAACTAAAGTGAAATATAACACTTATGACATTATAAATGGTGGTCCAAGGCTAGTGGAAATAGCTAAAAACACAGGAAAAAGAAAGCGTTACATTTCAGAAATAAAAAGAAGCTTTAGCCATTTTTTTTTTTTTAAATCTATAAAAAGGCCCAAGGTGCATTTAATTGTTTTTCTTGATTTCTGTTTTTTTCTGTTGACTGTCGCACTGATGGGGAGGAGGATTAAAGGTTCACCGGATACACTCAAAAACAAAACAAAAAGGATTAGTTAATGCCTTGTTCTCTTCTCACTTTAATACATCACAGAAGATATATCGGGTTAATGTTCAGAAATCTGTTACTTTCGTCTTTCTTGTAAACAAATAAAAAGTCACCAGAACTTGATTGTACAACAGTCAGACATGATTCAGGCTTTTTTTTTTTAAAGTTTTTTTTCTTTTACTCCTCGTAAAACTGTACACTTCAGTCATTTAAAAGCAACCTTGGGATGAAAAAAAAAAAAAAGAGAGCAGCAAAGTGGGGGAGAGGGCGGGCGGGGACAGTATTCAGTTATAACAACAACAACAATAATAATAATAATAACAACATCAATAATCATAATAATATGGGATTTGGCTTCTAAAACGGGTAATTATAGTTTTTCTGTTGTGTAAGGGAAAACACCATGTTCTTTCGATGATGAGTCCCCGAGGGCAGCGAGGGGGGAGAGGGGGGGGGGGGCTCTGTGGGTGGCAGTTCACGTCAAGTACATGTGGAACCCCCCTCCACCTTCCCACATACCTCATTAATAACCCCCAGTACCCCTCTAGTGGCTGGCGGCGCCAGGATGCAAGCGCGATGTGCTGTGCCATGAACGAGGAGCGGGGGGCTCCGGACGGGGAACCATGACAGGAGGGGAGGGAGGAGGTTTGGTTAGGGTTTAAAGCAGAAAAGGGGAGGGGGGAGAGGAAGGGGAGGAGGGGGGAATAAGGGAGGAGGAGAGAGGAAGGAGAGGGGTGGGTGGAATGTTCAAAGTGGCCACACACTGGTGTCCCTGACCCGGCACGTTGGCAAAAAAAAAATAACTCCGAGCCGGGTCGGTCCTGCGCTGGTCCTC